ACTTTAAGATGCGTGGACTTCAACTGCCAGAATTCCCCGTGGAGAAAGTCCACGTGTCTTAAAGTCGCCAAGGTTGAGAAACACTGCCTGCCTCTCTCAAGAGTATGCAGTTGTATGCCTGAATAAGGCTGATACAAGTTCAGAAACTGGTACCTGTAATGGTTTCCTTTCCTTTCCCTATTATTTACCCTTTTGTATCAGTAAGTGTGCATACTCAATTGTGAGCCTGCAAGTAAGGTCTTATTTAAATTTCTGTGCATTAACTGCAGATGCCTAACACTAAATAATTCTACCTTATCAGTTTTTTTTTAAATGTATTGAGACATAATGTAATGAGAGAACTTTAGCCTAGCAGATTCACATTGGTGAGATTTTGGAATAGAGAAACTGAAGATGTATGTATGTATGTCATTTCATGACATGGGCGGTGACAAACTTGATAAATAAATAAATAAAATAAAAATGCATGTATGTAACAAATTTAAATGGCCACCCATCTTAATCAAATAACTCTTAAGTGGATTAACAAGTATATAAACAGAAACTTATGTAAAAGAATAATAGGAAAAAAAATAAGAGATATCAAAAAAAAAATAAACACAGTCAACACAGGGCAAAGCACAAACCAGGTTCCACTAACATCTTAACCATGAAGCCTGAGGGAAGAGAGCTTTTAAGGTCTTCCAAAAGGCCAACAGGGTTGGAGCCATCCTAACCTTGGGAGAGACTGATTTGCAGGGCAGGTGGTACAACAGAGAAGACTTGCCTCTTAGGTTCATAAGATGACAGCTGGAGCACGTCCACTCTGCTAGAATCTGATTGGACAGGCAGAAACCACCATGCCAGGTAGGGCTTTATAAGCCAGCACCTTGAATTGCACCTGGAAACCTGCTTACTCCAAGCAGCTCATGTAGCAGTGGTATTACATGGACATAACTGTGGTGCATGTAAAACCTGACTGTGTCACTATATTCTGGATTAGCAGAAGATTCCAAACACTACTCAATGACTCCCCATGTGGACCACATTGCAGTAGTCCAGCTGGGAAGTGACTGAGGCATGAGCTTCCCAATTCAGAAACTGGAGGAATTAGTGTACAGGAGGAATTTGGACAAATACACTCCTGGCCAGGGCTGCCATCAGCTCCTTGAGCAGGAGCTATTAATTTAGGGGAAAAAACCAGATTCTGGACCAACTTGGTCTGGGGGAATAGCATCCCATCCAGAATTAGCAATGGAAGCTCTCCAGATTTTGGGGGAACTAAAACCCATAGCCACCCCGTCTTGGTAGGATTGAGTTAGTGCCTCTTCCCCATCCAGATCCTCACAGCTTCTAGGTACAAGGAAGGAACAGCATCACTTGGGTGGTGAGGACAGAAATATATAAGGGAATATTTTCAGTATAATGATGAGAATGGCCTCATTCAGTGGCTTCATGTAGACGTTAAATAGGAATGGGGAGAGAGTCAAACCTTGTGGCACCCTGAAATTGGGCCTAAGGCTAGGCTCTCCCCTGCTGCAAACACCAATTGGAACTAGTCTTGGAGGAAGGAGGAGAACCAGCAAAGAAAGTGCCTCCCATTCCAACCCCCCGAAGCAGTCAGAGGGATACCATTATTCATGGTATCAAAAGTTGCTGAGAAATCAAGGAGAACAAGGATGAAGACACCAACAGAGATTCAACAGAAATTTCAGAGATTCAGGGAGTTTTCTCTCCCCACAGGAGGGAAAAGGCTTAAGTGTTCCAAGGCCCTTATAAAAATCTAATGAGAAAGCAAAACATTATACCTTGTGGTTACTACTTTATTTGTATTTCCAGAATGGTACCATATTAATTTGTTGCAGCAAAAAGGAAGACTGCTGTAGCATCATATGGCATAAGCTTTCATTGTTACAGTTCAATTCATCAGAACTGTAACATCACTCTCTCTCTCTCTCTCACACACACACACACACACACAAAACCATGAGTTATATAACACCATTTAACAAGAGCTCTCTAGTGCATTCTGTAGATGATAATGGGCCATTCTCTATCAGGAAAGTACAGATGATCTGATTTCAGAAAATGCATTGTGAAATATAATGGTGGATAGTTTGAGTTTACTGTTATTTACTGCTATTGTTACAGTGAGACTAAATAGTAAAATACAGACCTATTTTATTTTGAGTCACATTTATGGTGTTTTAGTGTTATATGATTGTTTGGTTCTCTCTCTTTCTCTCTCCCTCTCTCTCTCTATATATATATAACTTGTGGCTTGGCACTTTGTGGAATTGCATTTATTGGGGGACTATTCCATATTATGCATTGATTTGTCAAGCTTCACTGGACCTCATTCCTTCACTACCATGTCTATATATACTTATATGTTGAATTACAACCTAAATTGATACTTCATATATCAGATAAGGCACAATTCTGTCCATGAAACTCTAACCAATAATAATGCTTTTATTAATGCCTCAAGTACCCAAATATTCTTTGCTAAACAAATACTGCAATGTGTGTTTAAATCATGTATGCATATTATGGTATTGTCTTTCCTGAAGAGAAGAGTGTGTTCTAGAGTTACTGGGCAGCAATTTACTTGCTTCTGTAAATTTCTGATGGTGACATAATTCAACAGACAATTCAATAGAGGAAACTCTAGCAATAAAAGTAGAATGCAGTATAAAGTTCTGGGAGGACATAGCTGATAGCTTCCTGATAATATCTTCAGTTGTGAACCTTCTACAAGGATGCTGTTTGCTAAAGGTAAATTATAGGAAATTTCTGTTACACTTTTATCCTAAAGTGATTTTTTTTTATGATCCACATGGGCATTTCATCACTGAGGTCATTTCTACATGACTGATTAATAGCATCTTCTAGAGTAATCCAACCATCTTTGTGCCCAAAGAACAGTAATGTGGACAGGCTTTATATTACTTCAACAACGGCTGGATGATACTCTGAAGATCCTATAAGTCACTAGTGTGGAAACGACTTGAGCTACAAATAGCTCTATGATATAAAGCTCCTTGGGTTAAATATCAGTTCAGGCATTAATTTAGTAGCTAGGTTTTGGCAATCTGACCTTCCCTCAGCGTCAGCCGTATAACTTTGAATAACTGAAGGTGCCAACTATTATTACATAGTTATCATTTGGTGTAGTTCAGGTAAGAGCAGGGAAAGAGCAAGAAAATGGGAGGGATGGTTAATTTAAACTGAAGCCTAGTGCTTTGTGGAACTGAGAATTGACAAAGTTTTTTCCCCCCTTAAACTACCAAAAAAAAAAGTTTATCACATTGATGTAACCCTAATTATGTTTACTCAGAAGTAATTCAACTGTGTTCAGATTTGAGTATATTGTCTAATGGTGCATGATAATCAGAAAGAACGGATTTCCCTTATATAGAGTAGACTCTGACTAAGGCCAGAGGTTGCTAACATGTTGGGGGCAGTAAGTACATTTGCGATCTGTACCATAATTGTTTTCTATTTTTTTCATACATTAATTTGTATGCTGCTTTCTCCTAAGTTTTCTGGTGGCTCACAATAAAACGCTTGCTGGGTTCATGCACACTAAATGATAGGCTAAGTTATGATTCAGTGTGTTATGGCAATATAGTCAGCATCATGTAGTGGTTATAGGAATGGATTTGAGTTGGGGGACCTGGCAAATTTGCATGGCACAATCTGGCAATTCCAATCTTCTGCCTAGTCCCTAAAATACTGTCTTCATCTTATCCCCAACCTGTGACAGAATTAGGCTTAAGCCACTACGAGCTGTCTTGGTATAAAAATAACATTTTGTCCCTTATTCTAACATCATTAAAGGACAATATAAAATATTTTACACTTTGCCCCTCATTACCATAGAGATGAAAGCAGGTGTTCACATACATGGTTTCAGGAATACTGGAAGACATGGGAACACTGTGGTCACCAGTCATAGGTAAGAGAGGGGGCCGCTCAGCAGATAGTTGGTTTCAACTCTTCCGCTCTGCTGGACCTAGCCAGTTGCACTAGGAGTCCACAGTAGCAAACCTGCCCCCAGTTTTGCCATAATTTATCTGAAATTATTTTAACTTCAGTGCCCAAAAGGGCAGTGTACAGATTGAGTCTGAAGTGAAGCCCAACCCATTCCTGCTGCATTGCCCAGACTGACCACTGGTTCTGCTGAGACCAGAGGCAGTAGAACCATAGGAGAAAGCCAGCCCCCCTGCCCATAATGACTGGGAGACTCAAAATGTGGCCAGCCCTTCAGCCAAGGCTAGGAAACAGATGCCACGAAGGCAGAATGGGACTGCTTGACAGCAAATGTTTTGACAAAGTTGTTTTGTGCCTATGCCAGGAGGGGTGGAGAACCCTATACTTTGTAGTGGAGAAAGGTATGAAATTCACATCCTTGCTTAGCTATGAAGCTCCCTGGATAATGTTGGCCCAGTTATCCATCGTCCTACCTCACAGGGCTCTCGTGTGATTAAAGGACGACTGTTATTCCAGACATTCAGTTCCTTGCCTGAAAATGCAGTGTGGGAATGATGTGTGGGTTTCTGAGACCGGGAGGTGCAAGAGGCCAAAATAAACAATTCAGCCTGCACGAGGAGGAGAAAAGCGATCTTGGAAAATCTGGACCTGCCGTTTGCAAGCCCAGATCGGTTCTTTGGCTAAGGACCCGAGATCTCCAACTGTATTTCTCTCGTCCCTTGGACATCAACCTTGTAGCTCCTTCCAGATTCCTCTCCCCGCAATTTGTTACTTGCGTTGAGGCCTGGAAGAGAGAAAGGAGCAGCGTTCGCCTGCGGGCGCTCTCGATTGCAGTCGTAGCCGGCCCAGGCGCAGCTTCTCGTCCTTCTCCCTCGTCGAGAAGGAAGCGCGGCCGGATCCGTAGATGCAAGCGGGGGAAACCTGCTAAGGTCACTCTCGCCAATCTGGGGCTTAGGGAAGAGCGTGGGCTGCTGAGGGGTTAATGTAATATTCAGAAGAGGTGGGAGTTGCTTTCTGTGTCGCGGCAAAGTCTTGCCGGATACAAACGGCAAGGAGGATCCATCTCAGTCCGAGAACAAAACGCGTTTGCCGGCTCGGGTGGGGTGAGTAAAACACGTCGTCTCCGCGAAGAGCGCCTCCGCCTCCTCCAGCCCCAGCCCGGCGTGTGCGCGCTGTTTGGCCTCGTTTGATTCCCGCCGTGACTTGGCTTTTCTTTATTAAGCATTTAAAAGGCAGCGCTAATATCAGTTCAGAGTGCCGGGGGATTGCGTCCTTTAAGCCGGGTAAGAGGTTTGGGAGACCAGCGCGAATAGCCGGTGCCGAGAGAAAGGCGCTCTGCACATGCTCGCGCCTGAATTCTAGGGCTGAAAACTGCTGCCCGGTGGAATTAAATGCAGGGGATATGTAAGCGGGGAGGTAGCTCACGAGGTTGTACCTCCTTAGTGTCCAAGGGAATGGCCCCTGAGTTTGGCTAGCCCGTCTGTGCTGCGCACCCAGGAAAAATGGGGGAAGGACACGTGTTCTGGCAGAGGAGACTCGGAAGGCAGAAAGAGGCTCTTATTCCTCCTCACATGGATTTCGAAGACCCACTGTTTTGGCCTTGTGGAGAGCAATTATGTCCTTTAAAATTACTAGCCTACATTGTTGTATAAGGGAATTCTGAATTCCTCGAGATTACAGCTAGAACTAGATGCATAGGAATACATTTAGTCCTTTCAACATTTCTTTGGCTCCTGATCTTTTTTTTTTATCCCTCCAAATTGAGAGGCTCAGACAGAAAGCTTAGAGTGTACCTCCACCCTCCATGCCATTATCATCTCAGCTGTTTTATGTGCTAGCTGTGATGCAATGGCACTTGTCACCTCTTTGTTTTCAGTGGCACCTTATTCTTGCTTGGCATGATCTGGAATTAACACTAGGCTGCCAGGCTAAGGTGTGGTACATTCTTGTTACCTAGTCTTTCACTATTTTTCTTTTTTAGAAAACCCTTTTTGTTAATAGAAGGTTTGGATTTGCAATGAACAACTTTGCTATTTTTTTTCCATTTTATAGGAGTGCTTGCTTGTGTATTGTATGCTGAGTGTGAGCGCCAGCAGTTTTGTGTATGGTTTTGTATAGGAGTAGAGTCACAACAGGAGCAGAAGTTGTATTTCATAATGCTTAAGAAGCTGCCTTGGGTTTCTCTGTTCAAATCTGACATTAGAAGTTACGTTAGTTATTCATGTGCAATAGAGGTATAGTATTGTTCTACATTACACTTTTTTAACAGTCCCACCCAGTAAAGGGCATAAAGTACACTATTTAAAAGTCCTCCATAGTTCATATTCTGCCTCACTGTCATATTGGGGTCTATAATCCTTCTGAGGAATTACAGTACTTAATTGAAATGGGTGAAAAGACTCATGTTAGTAATATGAGTTTTTGTTTGCCTAGTAAAAGTTTTGAAGTAGGGCTTTTCTGCCATTTAGTACTGATGCTTCAAAACCTTTTCTCTTTTAACAATCTCTCTTAACGGTTCAGCTCTTTCAGACATTCACAGAAAAACTATGTGAAGTAATTCTGTTGATCTAACAAAGTTATCCATAATAATGATATAAATTCCTGAACATTGTGCTCTTCAGATGGGTTGTGACTATCAGGGCGTGTTGGCATGCAAGATGCCCTTGTACAAAAGTCTACCTACTGCCTCCCAAAATGCTTACTTTTTAAATATTCAAAACATTGTATCTCTTTCTTGGACATTCTATTTCTATATAAAGGTCCTGTGTGGCTTTTGATATTTTTTTTTTAACTTGCAAAATGTGCTCCCCCAACATGTGGCAATCTTGTGAGGTGCACAGTTTGCACACTGGGTTGTGGCAGAACTAGTGGCTACAATTCCCAGAATTCCTGGTCAGCATAGTTTTTGAGAACCAGCTTCTAGAAAGTTGATGTAGATCTCTTTCAGAAACACGATGGTTCAATTTTAAAGTAATTTCTTTGAGGTGATTAATTGTCCACATGCTTTCCAAAGATGCTCCCACAGTGGCAAATTTTGGCTGCAGAGATTTATAAAGAGCTATGTTTCCCAAGGTGTCACTTATCACTAAATAAATATTTGCCAAAAACTTTCAGACATTTAAATCTTGTATTTATAGTTACTGCAACTCTGGCACAATTATACTGCACAATTACTGTTTGGATTGTCTCACAGCATTTTTCTTAAAAGAAGGATTGGTGCACTTACTGACACCATCCCTGGAAAAGGGCCTGAGAATCATTGCTTTTTTCTTTTTATGAATACAAAATTAAGCTACAGTATGAATTGTATGCTTTAGATGGAAAACACAATTTGCTTAGTGCTTAGTTCTAAATACCTTTGAGAGCCAGTTTGGTGTAGTAGTTAAGGCATCAGGCCAGAAACTGGGAGACCGTGAGTTCTAGTCCTGCCTTAGGCATGAAAGCTGGATGGGTGACCCATCACTTTCTCTCAGCCCTAGGAAGTTGGCAAGGGCAAACACTTCTGAAAAATCATGCCAAGAAAACTGCAGGGACTTGTCCAGGCAGTCTCCAAGAATTGGACACGATTGAACAGATTTTTTTTAAAAAAAAT